GTTAGTTTCATTTGTTTCCATATCGAAGACAATTGACACAACAATTCCCTCAATTCATTTCGATTCTTTGAAGACAACATCAAAACTAGCCGTAGTGCAACAATTCCTTCAAATACACGACACTTTGAATAGAAGAAACAATCTACTGGTTCGACATCGAGTGATCCAAGAAGTATCTTTTCCAAAGAAGATATGGAAGGGTCGTTCTTGAAGATTACAACAAATACTTTCGGAATTAGGACTTGAAAAGTATTCTCGTCAATAGGATATCGATATAATCCCATTTCAGTGACTGCATCATATAAAAAGGACTCCGAGGTCAATCTATCATCTACTTTAGACGGTATACGATAAAGAGCCATCATCAAAAGTAAATCAAAAACACTTTTTCTATCTTCGTCCAAATTCAATATTCGTTCCACAAATGGTTCAGCACAAATTCTTCGGAAATCGTAGTCATTCATACAAGTCAAACATTCTTCTTTCGATATGAAAGGCTGATTTCTTGGTATTATATAATTCAAAAGCATATTTACTGCACGAGTCAACAAACCAGGAACTCCACCTGTACATTCCAATAACGAATCTGCCAATTCATTTACTGAAAATGAAGAACTACATAAGACATTACAAACCGGTTCTTGAGTAGGTGTCTCAAGAAGACTCTTTTCAAGGAATTCAACGATACTGGAAGCGTCCAAAGGTGATAAAGGGATAAAATGTAGTATAACTCTTGATAGCCCAAAAGCCACATCATTCTTAATACTTAAACCCTTGCTTTTCCCAACAACTATAACAAACAAGTCGGGTTCTTCGCACAATTGACTAATGGTACCGAAAAAGTCATTGTAAGGTCGAACTCTACCGCCGTGGGTTCTCTTGAAATGAAATTCGTCGAGACTTTCGTCTAGGACACCAACTTCATCAAATGCTATAAGAAGATATTGATCGGAAGGAGTGTTTACGATTGAATGGATTTTCTGAACCAAAACATCACTCCTAAGTTTCAGTTCCTTGAAACATTCGTCCGGGTCTGGTTGCAGAAGACCTGATTGCAAACAAGCAGCCTTGATTAACAAATAGTAGACTGCCCACTCCAGGTTGCGTTCTTTCGGTTCTGTGGGCTTCAACTCCCTCAAATCCACAAAGAGCAACGAAGCCCTTTTCAGCTTCTCCAAAAAGGTTCTCCTCGAAGGGTCCGAAGCAAACGTCGACAGAAAAGTTTCACCAAACCTTTGCACCAACTCCAAATAGGTTCGGGCAAAGGTCGTTTTGCCTGAGCCAAAGAGATGGGGGGCAAATGGTATCGTCAAGCGATAGTCGCAACTACTTGTTACACCCCTGAGTTGTTCTCTGTTGCTATGAAGATCATACAGTTCTTTTGTCACTCGAACAACATCTCTTTCACGATCTACCACAACAGACTCAAAGTTGTCCACAGCTTCCCACTTTTCATCCAAACTCGCCATCGCCAAAGTGAAATTAAACAATCTTCTGTTTATTTCGGAGTACAAATATAAATAAATGAACGATTGACTGTTTGTCGGTCACAACAACAACAAGGAAAACAGTAAAGGATACCAATCCAACTTCTTCTCTTTATCAACTGATGACTATGTCATACCCTTTATGGCTTGGACTGAGATGACTAGAACTATGGAAAAACGATCAATATGGCTTTTTCAACTATCGATATTCTTATTCTCGTATGCTAATATAATGACAACTCTCATAGGGTACAAGAAGTATTGGAAGGAAGCCAATGTTTATTTCACAAGTTTTTTATGCTCTTTGAGAGTATAAAGCTATTAAACATGGCCCATTCTCACATAGATAAGAAAGTTTCTTTCAGAATTTTCGAGAGTAGTCATGAGAGTTCCGAGCAATATAGATTGTTCATGAAGAATTTGTTCCATAGACGTCTCTCTCTAGATTTTTCTGTATTTTATAGAACAGTTTTTACGTCACTTTTGCTTCATTTCGAAACACGGAACTAGAGTATGAACCAAGTCATTCTCTTGTACAGTCTATTCAAAAGCTCCAGTTGAAATGTTATTATTTAGTAGAAATGCAGAAACCCACAAGCACAGCACTGCTTTATTTTCAGCAATCATCAAATTCCTTTCTTACGATATCATGACAAGTAGCAGCTTATCACTAAAGCTACAAAAGTTGATGATAGCAAAAGACAAACCAAAACAAATGTGCAAAGAAGGATCCAAAATATCTCGTGGTTTTATCAAATCTCAGAAACAACATTGACTCACACAAGTGTATCATCAATACTCAATTTCTGTAAGAGTCAATAACTCCTGTTTCTTTCTCCTCTGAAAATAGTGGCACTTGATACTGTGAATTCTGTTAAGAGGAGAAAATATATTTTCAAGAAAAATTGAATTCAGTCGAATTGAGTCTATTCTATCGATTCTCTTCTCGTTTCTCACATTTGAATCATAGTTGAATTCCTTCTCCTCAATAGTCGACTATATAGTTGAGGTGCTTTTGAAGGTAAACATGACTGTTTAGGTTTAAAGACAATTGCAGTATCCTCTTGTACGATAAACTTTGTAAAAACCACAACTTTTAAAGATATACAAGAAAGCAAATTATAAAAAGTACAAAGCTGCTTTAGGAACGATATAACTCCAAGAGAGCTATTATCTCTTCCAATATAAAAAAAGGTAAAACTTTTAAAAGCTCTGCAAATTCAAAGAACGATTTGTTCAGCTGCATTTGAGTCCTAATCTTCTTCCATTCTCAACCATCAGCTCATTGAATAAGTGAGTCACTATACAAAAGTTCCTTGCGTTAGGCACTTGAAAGAAGACTCTTGCGAAATATAACCTGATGGGTACACTAGTAGAGGCTTCCTTTTGGATATTGGTAACGAGAATCGAATAGAAGGAATGTTCATTTCTACTAGGGACAATTTAAACTTGAAAAAGAAGCGAAACGCTGTTTTATCCAAGTTGCTCTACAAAGAATAAAAATGTCGTCAACTCGCAAGCAATATTCAGCAGAATAAGATAAAATAATTTATCTGATTCTTTTGCAGAGTCAAATCTCAAATGATATTTTGGTTGTTATCCAAACTTGTTCTTTGAATATATTGGATCAATTTCGTCTCCTAGTGAAAAGAAAGAATATAAACGTAGAAACAATGGAAAAATGAGAATCTTTCATCTCTCTTGGCAAAGTAAAAAAGAAAGGTGAATCTTGAAATATATGTGCAAGGAGAACCAAAAGCATCACCACTCTTACTGTTGTTATACTATTGAAAACTCTCTACAAGTTCTTTACGTGGAGAACGAACAATAGCCTTGAAACGTTTGAGGTTCGATCCTTTTTATCGTAGGTAGTTTATGTACGAATTTGTGTATAGACAAAAGTATTCCCAACCTTTGGTCAGTTTTTTACTATTGTCCTGTCCTCTGCATACTTTCCAATTCTAGAGTTGAATATACGATTTGTTCTTCTTTATAACTCGTAATCGAACAGAGATTGCTCCTTGAGCGTAATTTGCATGGAAGGGAAGATTATAGTTCTCACAATGCAAGCCAAACAGAGTTTATGTCATTGAAATTGGAAAGTGACCATTTTACACCTTTATGCAGTTTCCTAAATTTTGAGTGACCAACAAAGAAAGGTTCTCAGAACGAGAACGAGTCAAAAACTGGTTGTAGCAAAACCGTTCTTGATTTGTTATCAAAATAGGGTCACAAGTATTCTGAAATTTACCTTACAGAGACAATATTGATCAAACTCAACTCTGTTAAAAGGTACAGTGTCGCTAGGGAGTTGCGAGGAACTTTGTTACGACACTGCTCTTCTCGTTTCACAAAATTACTGAGATGTGAGATTGATTGTATCTAGCACACTTATTGTTCCAGAACCTTTTTACATATCTCCAGGTGGAATATTTTCTTTCATAAAACTCACTAGTCACTCAAAATAATATATCTCCAGTGAAAGGAGAGAATACATAGCATAACAATCCAATCAGAAATTCAACACAATGGTTTGATTGTTGGATGGAAAGGAAGTTTCAGTGAGTTTTGTCAAGGCTGTGGACCTGATTCAAGTTTGCTATTGAAACTTCTCAGACTTTAATTGCTAAAACAAATTCGTCGTTCGTTTTAGTTGGACAAGTGAATTTCTATTATCTACGTTTCCTTTTAAGCCCTTCAAATGTTTCTTTTAGAACAATCCATCGATTCCTGAGCTCGGAGTTCCATGTAGACTGTAGTTTCTTTTTAGTATGTATAAATTTTATCATCTCTTTGGAGTTTATATACTTTATGCAACACTTGTTGTTATTTCACTTCTGGTCTTGTATGGAAATTTGAGATTAGCATTGTCGAGAAGAGAACAAAGACAAAGGAATTCAAGCTGTCGTTGAGTGTTGGTACATTAATCAATTAGTTGTCTCACAAGTTTGTTTATTTCTATCGATAATTGTTTCAGAGCATTTTTGCGTATTTATTAGCAGTTGAAAGTCCAGTAGTCTAGTCTTGTAGATGCAGAGAATCAGGCTTGGGGCTAATATTTCAAAGATATTCTACAAGAACAACAAACCAGACACACACTCGAGTTGAGTGGTTCTGTACACTAGAAAGACTTACTGTACGTATAGTATTTTGCTGTCTATCTAGACTGACTCTTTTCAAGATGGAAAACTCGGTCTGTAACTCTGCAACAGGCATTTCTCAGAATAGCATAGAAAAGTCTCGAGTCCATCATTGCTTATTTTCAATGATTGTTTGTATTGTTGTACTTTTAGATCAATTCTCTATTGATTCGAATATGGAAAACGACACCCATAAGGTTTGACAGTTTGTGAAAACGAAAGCTGAATAAACTTGTATTTTGAAAGCAAGGGAAAAGTTTTCAGTTCAAAATATACTCACCTTGTTGAGAACCATGAAATAAAGCAGGCAAAAGGACACTGTTGAAAAATCTTGGTTGTGTTCACCTGGGTAAAGAGTTGTGACGATGGCGACTGTAGCTACTAGTCCGTTTTCGAAAAACGCTTTGTTTTTATGAATTAATGGTTCTACCGAGGGTGAAATATGTCTAAAACGATATGTGAGTCGTAAGAGTGATAAAGTTGGAACTAGTATTGATGGTGTTTCTGAAAGGCATCTATTGCAAATTGTCTTTGGTCCTTATATAGTTGAATAGGAGGGTAACAATAGTAGCACGGTGTGAATAGGAAACAAGTATTTGCCTTCTCAAGAGTGCTGCTGATCTGTTTTTTTTCCAACACACTGAAAGTCATGCTGTTGAAAGTAGTGGTAGTTGTAGCTGTCAAAAAGTGAAAAGGAGACTTCACATTTTGTGCAAACAGGTTGCGTTTGGATAGTATACAAAGTAGCTCTGAAAGACATTCATGAAGGATGGGTTGAGCTTCTACAATATTACACGAGTGCAAATATTGATGCAGTCGTGTCCGACTAGAGTTTTGGTTTGACTCTGAAAATAAAGTCCAACTTTCGATATATAATTCCTAGAAAGCATACGCAGACGAACAAAGTGGTTTGCAAATACATTGACACGAACCTAAAACATTTTTCTATTATCGCAGCAAAATCAAACCACTCGCCACTACTTGAAATTCAACCAGAACAGCAACAACAACAAATATGAGCCCAAGGCTAGTAAAGTATGGCTTAGTCATCAAGTCTATAAAGAGAATGATTGGCGCTTCTATCTTTTACTGTTTTCTTCGTTGTTGGCATGAGTGGAGAATTGCAATTGTTTTATTTACTTGGATTTGTAAAATGACAGCAACGACAACAACAAGAGAAAGCCATAGTGTATTGGTTAGTAGTACATGGAATATTAATAATAGTTTTTGTCATAAAAGTACGAATTTGACCTATTTTTTACCATAAAGGAAAATTGAATTGTTGACTTTACAAAATAAAAGGGCATTATTTGCACACTTACGACTATTCCTGTACCTTGCTGTCGGTAGAACTAAATACGGTTCTGATTTTGAACAACAAATAGGGTATCGAGTTGCTTTAATGGTCGATTTTAGATTTTTCTTGTACCTGTTTGAGACTAATCTTTATCTTCTGATTCTTGAAACGAACTTATTTGTTATCTCATGATAGTATGATGAAGAACTAGTCGTCATTTCTTTTCCGAAAACGTCGACGTAAAAACTTTTCAGAAGCTTATTTCATTGGAAATCTCAATCAAATAGAATCTCTTTGTCCCGTGATAGTTGTGTTGCATTTGTAGGGATGTGTAACTCCAAGTGATCAATTCGCGACAATCTAGTCTGTTGAATCAATTAATCTTTGACAAGTGAACTTGCAGTATCATGAGAGTGTACAACATACTGTTTTCTGTGATCTAGAATCTACTACTGATTTATCTTGATATATTGCATTGTTCTTATGTCGAAACTAAACCTTTTGACTATTTATGCTTCAGAACATTTCCATCTTACTTCTTCGACCCTAAGACCAGCTTCATATGGAGTAGTCATCTAGTTGATAAGGATAAGATAATATCTCTATTTCGTTTTTTCTCTTCTTTATCGGCGTTAT